GTACCCGATGGGTAGTCTCCTTTATATTATGCTATGTATTGCCGTAAGACCGGGGCGTAGGCCACGGCTGGGGATCTCCGCTTTGTAAGACCAATTCGTAGGTCTTGGCCGGGCGGGGTGGATTACTCCTACTGGTTGGGCATCGTTGTAAGACCAAGGCGTAGGTTTTGGCATTCGAATCGAGTATCAACAGTAGTCTAGCGTAGGTGTGCACATGAGAGGACTCTGGGATAGGAGATGGGATAATTAATTGATTCGTATACATGCTGAGACCATACCTTATAGATGATTGATTACTGTTTCATTATTATGAATAATGTTTAGTGCATAGTGGTGAGCACTACTTTTTCCAACTGTGCTCATCCCCACCTGAAATTCACGTTTCAGGTTAAGCGAGGCAGGTACGACGGCGGAGTAGAGCGAGTGGTGGTCGGTCTATGAGACCGATGTTATTGTTGTTTATGCTTCCGCGTTATGAACTGATTTATGATTTGAGAACATGGGATAATATTGAATTTATGACTTATGGATATTATGATTGATTAATGTTAAAGGAGATGCTCCTTGGATACTATGAATATTGTTGGAACCCAGTTTGGGAGATTGACGAATTTTTGGGAATACCCGTTTTGGGAGTTGGAAACTTTGAGTTTGACGATTGCTTGAGTATTGAGAAATTGATTAAGTATTAAAGTTCGTTTTGAAAATGAGTAGCGCCTCAGGTAAATTGAAATAAATTTGAAAAAGTTATTCTGATTTTCGGCAAATAAAAGTGGGGCGTTACAAAGCCCGTTTAGTAGCCAAAGGCTATACTCAAAGTGCAGGTGTTGACTTTGAGGAAACATTCAGTCCTGTAGCCAAACATGTCACACTCAGGATAGTGTTGTCAATAACAGTCACTTTTGGCTGGAAAATCAGACAACTTGATGTCAATAATGCCTTCCTAAATGGTGACTTAGCACAGGAAATTTACATGCAACAGCCTCCTGGGTTTGAAATGCATGGTGAAGAAAACTTGGTTTGTAAACTTCACAAGGCAATTTATGGGCTTAAACAAGCACCAAGAGCCTGGTACACCAAGCTTAAGCAAGAACTTCTACAGGAAATTTTAGTTGTTCTAAAGCTGATCACTCTCTCTTCTTTAAAGTCAAAGGGAATTCTCATCTCATAGTCCTTGTCTATGTAGATAGAGTAACTGGAAGTAATGAGCTAGAAATCTCATAACTTATTTGCAATCTTCACAAAAAATTTGCTCTTAAGGACTTAGGACCTCTACCTCATTTTCTGGGAATACAAGTTACCACAAACTCAGAAAAAGATCTTTCATTTAAGTCAAAACCAGTACATCAAGAAACTTCTGGCTCAAGTTAAAATGTCTCAAGCCAAGGGTGCAGACACTCCCATGGTAACCTCATGTCACTACTCTAAACATCTAGAAAATGAATCTGTTGATGCTACTCTCTACAGAAGTGTGTTAGGAGCTCTTCAGTATATTATAATCACCAGACCTGAGATAAGCTTCTTAGTGAAGAAACTCAGTCAGTTCATGCAAGCACCCTTAGATACACATTGGAAAAGAGTAAAAAGAGTGCTCAGATATCTAGCTGGAACTTCTTCCTTTGGTCTATCTTTTGCTAAAGCCTGTAATCTTAATCTTGTTGCTTATTCTGACTCTGACTGGGCCACAGATATTGATGATAGAAAATCAGTCACTGGTTTTTGCATTTACCTTGGTGATAACTTGGTTGCTTGGTGTTAAAAAAAGCAGCATTCTACATCTAGATCCAACACATAAGCTGAATTTAGAAGCTTAGCTCACTGTAGCACAGATGTGTTGTGGGCAAGTTTTCTTCTCAGAGAGCTAAGGCTTTCTAGTTCTAGAACACCTGTCATCTGGACTGATAATGTAGGAGCTGATGCTCTTGCTGCAAATCCAGTTCTTCATTCCAAGGCAAAACATATAGAGCTTGATCTCTATTTTGTTCAGGATAAAGTAAATCAAGGGTGTTTTTCAGTTCAGCATGTCCCTTCATGTGATTAAACTGCAGATGTGTTTACCAAGGCTCTTTCCATGCAATCTATCACTCGGCTCAGAAACAAGCTTCATGTTGTCCCTTCACCACGTTCAGATTGAGGAGGGCTGTTAGACTTTATATATTTTCCACATCATTATTCCTTATTACACACATGGATGATATTCTCTTTATATTGGTTGTTGGTATTTATGAGACATTCCCTTCTTGCTTGCTCAGATGATGCCACGTCTCATCTAGGGCTGTTCTCTTTTTGTCTTAGTATATAAGCTAGTGATTGTTCTCTAGGAAAGCACGCAGCTGCTACACCCTTCATTATGCTGTATTGAAGTTATCACTCTTTAATGAAAATGTTGATTCTCTTTCAAGTTTTCATATTATATATCTAAAACTGATAAAAACTACAAAAGTTATTAATTTTTAAAATATATTTATGTTTCAATAGTTATAATAGGAAATGATATTAAAATGCAATTAATATACCTAAAATGGCTAAAATCAATATATTTATGGATACTCTGAACTAATTATTTTTGGATTGGAAGTAAATTAAAATATATCCACGCCAAATAATGAAGCATGAAATTTTACCATATAAGATCTCGAAGCATGCTAGCCATCCACTCAAGCTCAACACATTCGGTAATTATATATAAGGGGACACTATTTTCTAATGCAGTTTTATTAAAAAAACTAAATAATTTTAATGGCATGAATAGCCCCAAATTACGTAAATAATTTTTATAATAATAATGTAGTAATTTGTTAAGCAATTAATTGGCCATGATTAGTGCTATTAAATTAAAGAATATTTGCTCGGCTCGCCTCGTTTGATAAACGAGCCGAGCCCGAGCTCATTTAAAGCTCGTTTGATTAAATGATTCGTTAAAGCTCGAAAAGAGAATTTTTATATAATTTTATATAATTAATAAAACTCGAGATCAGCTCGAACTCTGCTGGTTATGAGTGGTAAACGAGACGAACTCGAGCTCGATTTCAAGCTCGGCTCGTTAAGGGCTTGAGGAAAATACAAACTACAATAGCAGAAGGTTTTTTGGGAGTCGCGGTGTGCCTGTTTGCTCCAATCCAAACAATTACATATTCTGGGATGGTTTGCACATGACGCAAGAACCCTCGCTTCGAATCGTCAGGATTCTTATTCAGCCCGCACTTTCTACACTAAACTGTGCAACATAATTATTTTGTATCTCTCGTATGCACCAACCCAACCAATTGATCAAATGTGCAATACCATATATATATATATATGTAGCTAATTATCATTATTTAATATTTACTAGATTGCTAGATGCTGCAAATTTAGCCGCGTCAAATAATACATCTTCTATTTTGTCTCTTCTATTTATTTTCTTATGTATTTATTATATTGATTATTATTCATTCAAAAGTTGTCAGTGAATTCTAATTTTACAAATACATATTGATGTGCAATTTAGTTCTTCATTCAAATGTTATATATTGTTCTTTTACAATAAACTATGGTCTCATAGACTTGCAATTTCTAGGAAACTAGTACTGAACCCGTGCGATGCACGGGATGAACAATTTTAAGGCTATTTGCACAGTATTATTATTTTTTTAAATAAAAAATATTAATCAACCTGGAATAGAAAAAACAAACGTTACATGTTATTAAACACATCTTTGTACAAAACATTTTTTGTTTGCCATGTAGGCAAACCATCATCTCCATAAACTAATATTTTGAAGCTATTTCGATTAGCGACATGAGAAACAACTGAATATAACTGGTCGTGACTGAAAAACTGACTTTTTTAAGAACAGACCAACATGTGATAAAGATTGACTCTCACTCTTTTTAATCGTCATGAACCATATGGGGAACTGTCTCGCTCATTAACAAAGCTTCGAAAATCAAACCAAAAAAGGGGGAAGTCACCTTTGAACTTAACCAAATTCGTCATATCATGGATTAAAATTTTATATTGGGCAATTGTGAGACGATAACCATAATATATTTTTACAAAATGCAAAGAAAACAGATCTGCACTTTTTTTGACCCGATTTTACTTGGCTAAAAAGTAACGCGATATTTTTTTGGTGTATATAGTAATAATTTTTTTTAACTAATTCTTAGCAATACGTGCAGTAAAACTACTACTATGTTTGTGTGATATGTAATTCTATCATATTATTGTAAAGCTCATTATTGAATGATTCATAGCATAAAACGACTTTGAATTAATCACGAACTGATTTTATGTAAATTATATAAAAGCCGACCCTTTATACCGAAATCGGATTTATGGTGTGAATCATTTTGCAAAATAACTATGGTATGAATCTTTTTTTTTTTTCAAACGATAAATATATTAATAACTATGGTATGAATCTTTCATATCATAAAATCGTCCACTTTATATCATAATCATAATCGGATTTATTAATAACAATACATTTCTTACCAAAAATAAAAATGACCATCACATACATTAAATAAAATCACCCATATTATACCATAAAATCATCCACTTTATACTAAAACCAAATTTATTAGTTTTGAATTTTTATACCATAAATTGTTTGATTAATCTTTATCTATATAATAAATATGATTTTCACATATTACGTAAATATACCAAATTATTAACGTAATACCAAATTATTGTTTATAACTATTGTTGTTATCACATATTACGTAAGTATAATCAGAGGTCCAATAAAATTATAAATAATCACATGCTTCAGTTATCATACAGGGACATGATTTGCATTGCATATCAGTGATAAGAGTAGAGATATAAACAATTCAAACAATATAACTCAATCTGACATTTCAAAATTTCAAAATTTATAAGAATCACCACATGTTCCTCAATCTTCATATGCTTAGAGAATAACTTTGCAACATGGCATTCTTTTGTCAAAGACCACAATTATATGCTCATAATAACTTTGCAGCATGGCATTCTTTTGTCAAAGACCACAATTTCCTATATGATCTGTATTTGGTTAATTAACAACATGAAAGAAATGTCATCTACAAATACAAGCATATAAGCATAAACATTATTGCATTCTTAAATAGTGTCAGAAGACAAATCTCCATAATATATCTATATTTGCAAACTCAGACACTACTTCACACATATAATTTTTTTTAATGAACTTAGAACTCTTATTACATTGACAAAAAAAGAAAAGTTGAAACAGATAAAAGCATCCACCTGAGAAGTTCCAATGACATTAACGCTGAGATTTCCCTCTTCTAAATGTTTTCCGTACAACACTTCTTTACATGATGAACCAAATGAAACCTTCACGTGCTCCTCCAACTTGCCAGAAATATTTTGTGATGTGTTCCTGGGATAGCTCTATTATACACGTTTCTGAAAGTTTAGTGGAGATTATGTCAACTTCAAATTCTATATCAAGAAACCAGCCCTAGAAAATCTTGAAGATAATTTTGAATAAATCTACAAACACAATGCATATTTTTATTGACAATGAGAATTGAAAAGCATTTCAGAATGTTAAATAGACCACTACATATTATTACTATAATGTACTGTCAAGTATTAAATATAATGTATATATAAATCTCAAATTTTTGCATGATTTCATTCCATCACACACAAGGACATCTACTGGTCACAGATTTTTGAGAATTATCGGCACACCACAAATTTTCAGCAGTTGAATATTCAAAACATTCATTTTACAAAAAACCAAAATTTAGTTGACACATAAGTTTATGAAAGATGACAGTTTTAGATATGTAAGCATCAAATGCAAAAGTTCCATATTCCTTTCTCTTAATTCCTCTAAAGCTTCAATACACAACCCTAAGAAGACACCATTAAATATTTTAAAAATTTATAGCATTAAAGAATCAAGCACAATCATTGAGTTACTATACCCCATGATAGCATAACCATCAAGTGAGTTCTTCTTACATGCCAATAAATCCATAATGCAACCTTATGAGGCATCAACCAGAAGAACCGAGAATGATCCAGTGGCGAAAGCGAAACTACTCTTTTGGCTGCCAATGAGGCTGTGGAGTAATTACCGAGTTTCGGATGATGCACTAAAATTACTACGTGCAGATTATCATTTGGTTAGCTCGTTTTCATTTTCCAGTTCCCAAGGATGTCCTGTGATTGAATTGCAAAACAGTAACATTAACTACAAAAATAGAACATAACTATAAGTCAAAATTCATTACAAGAGAATGGACATTACAAACAATGAGCCAAACGAATAATTGATGGCAAACCCACCATGAAAGGGCTGACATGAAGAGGCTTCGCGACTAAGTCCGAGTTCAGGTTGGACAAAAATGTCACTCTTTCACCCCATGGCGTGTTAGTAACCTGAGTTCGATTAAAAAAAAAAAAAAAGAAAAAAAAAAAGCAGAAAGGTCGAATACTTTAGTACATTTATAAGTCACTTTCATAAGGCTCGATTTACACATATCGATTTTTTAATGAATATCGGACGAACGAACCTCGGTAATGCATTTACTCAACGTTCGGGTGGTGCCTTCAACGTCATAACAAAAGTACAAACTCAACGGGTTTTGTACGTATCCAACGCTAGACGGTATAGTCAACAGAAAACTGGTTTGTTCAATTTAAATTCTAACAGTTGTTAGAGATTCTCCAAGAACACTTATTAGAAATGTGCAAAACAAATTCAACAATTCTCATACCTCATCAGACCAATATAAATAGTTATAGCACAGTAAAACAAATGAACATATAAGCAGAACTTCAGTACATTTATAGTTCACTTCCATAAGGCTTAGGGCCCAGTTGTTCTCATAGCTCATTAGGACCACATTCATAGATGATAAGCACATTGCATCAGTTACAGGCATAGTAAATTGGCAATTTGGGCATGCCGATTAAAAAATTCAAAAATTTATAGCATCAAAGAATCAAACACGATCATAGAGTTACTATACCCCATGATAGCATAACCATCAACAAAGCAAGTAAAGCACAACAATAAATCAAATTAAACAAAATAAATAACATCCAACTGAATGACTTACATTGAACCTATACCTTCTGGGCTTTTAAATCAAATTATGCGACGTATGGGTACGACACGTATTGCAGATGGCGGTGAAAAATGAGCGGCGACGTGCAGTGTTGACACCTGACACACCCCTTCTTAATCTGCAGCAATGCACGAGTCCCGAGGCAGTACACGTCCACTGACTGCGAGTTTCCAATCGCGAAGCTCAACCTCCCGCCCATTGCATACACCCGGCCCTCAAACCCACACGCGAAGCAGCCTCAACGGGCCTGCGAAGGCCCTCGAATCGCCTTTTTCGAGCCGAACCTCTTCAGCCAATTTATGCCTAAACCCATCCTTATTTATATCTTGCACGAACAAATTCGACATTATTTTTTCACAACCACAGAAACACGCACAAAGCACAGCCACAATGAAATGCGTAAAAAATAGGGCATATGAAGAGAAAGAACGAATTTTTACCTAGGATGCAATGATAGATCCAAACATCCCTTCATGAGAAAAGCAGAAATAGAGAAGAAGGGTCCGCCTCCGAGTCCATCAACTCCATGACCCACTTCTCCTGCTCCGTCGTCGCCACGAACCTGTCGTCCCCGTCATCCAGCGGCAGTGCCACCCACCTCCATCTCCTCCACCATGAACACCAGATGGAGCTCCGCCATGCCTATATCCTCATGTCGATAGAAATGGTTTGGATTTTATTGTTGGGATAATTATTTTGGATGCGATTTGTTTAGATTGATTTTGGAAGATTTGGTTTTGGGAGAATTATTTTGGATGTGATTAATTTGTTTGGACGGATTTTGGGAGAATTATTTCTGTGATTTGTTTGGATCTAATTTTGGGAGAGATGGCAAGATTAGTGGGATCCGATTTTGGGAGAGATGGGAAAATTAGTTTAGATCTGGTTTTGATTTGTCAGCTAAATTTCCATCCAATATTTTACGTAAATTAAGTTAAATGCCCAACAAAACCCATCAATTTAGGGTTGAAAAACCTATTTTTTCTATTTCATCAGATTTTTTTAAATAATAATTTCTATAAGTAGTAAGTCAACTTGATTGACTGACATTTTTTTAAAACTTTCCCAAAAGGATTTATTGACCTCTCTTTTTCAATATATATAGATAAAATCATTTGTTTAGTTGACTTAATTTTTTATGTAGCGAAATGGAATTTCAAGAATGATAGACAGCATTTTGTAGTTTAAATAAATACTAATGATTAATTAACAATGTGTGGTATTCTTATATTATATTTGTACGCTATAGCAAAGATATATAGAAGCAAATATGCTACAATTAGTTCATATATGTTTCACACACAAAATATTATAATAATTCAAATTGCAATTCGAATTATGAATATTGAATTCAAATAAAAAATTCAATTAAAAATAGTCAAATTTAGTCAAATTAAAAGTAAATTTAGTCTTTGTTTTCTTTAAATTCCAATGTCATGTTCATTTGAATTATTAATTCATGCAATGAGATAAGAAAATTGCTCGTCTTGAGCAACAAATTCTCTTGTATTTATTCAAGGCCGATAGTGCGGGGTTTCACAAACATCTTGTGATTAATAAGGTCGTTAGTGCGTATTTTCACAAATTATCGTGTAGAGGCAAGGATGTTAGCGCGTGCGTCTAAACAAAACTAGTCTAGATACTAGATCTTCATCATTGGTACTTTCGTTGAAGAACACTGATCGTGAATCATTCAAAAAAC